CAAGCTCAGAAAGCTATCTTGTGTTGGAATGTGTATGTACTTGGTGACTTCTGAATGCTCTGCCATAGAGGAAGGCAAGGCAGGTAAAACTGTGACAGAAAAATGGGCCATAGATCTACAAATGGCCTCAGGTAAGGAGTGTGAATAGAACGACTTCACAATAAACAATCCTGTGAGTCTATGAAGGTGGTAGTACTTGCCATGTTTCTCTGGCATGAGGTGTAAGTGTTTGAAGTGCTCCAAAGAATATTTAGCCAGCTCGGACCAGACTTTCTCCAGCCAGTCTACAGGGAGTGAAGACCTCTCATTATCCCAAACTTTAAACTGCCCTTTGTCCGTGAGGTTACGGTCCATACAAAGCTGAAGAAGTCTTACAAATACAGATTACTGCATATACTTTATATGAAGTGAATGTTGTATTCTTGGTATTTTTGCAGTCTAACTTGAGAGCTATTAACTATTGCCAAGGTGTCAAACAACAACACCTGATAAATACTCCCCAACATTTATCTCGCAGAATCAAAAGACCACACATTCTTCAGTGAAACCACACAGATATGTTTTATTACATGGACTATCAATTTGTGAGAATATGGTGACTGTACTTGTTTCAAGGAAATGCAGGTCTGAAGAAGAAGATTGTTGAAATTTTAGCCAATATAATCCTTTTTTGCCATAACCATCAGGCATTGGGGTGAGTCAGGGTCATATTTTTTTTTCATATAATTTGAATTATATCCCACTGGAAATAAGCAAAATATACCTAAAAGTGTTAACTCCATAATATATAAACTATAGTAAAAAAAACTTAACCCCTCGCTAGGGGTATTGCAAATCACAGTTTTGATAAAACACCTTAGGTTCTATCTTACCATCCATGAAGAATATTAACATTTTCGGTTTGCCTATGACCATGAAACATTTCTGCAACATTTTATTGAAAGTCCAAAATGTAAATTGTTGACACAAGATAGACGACAGATGACGCACGAAGGATGATGATGGGGAAAAGAGGTGTCGCAATATTTAATATTTGAATTGATAAAATCCAAGATGGCTGCCAGCCTTACTTTTCCAATTGAGATTAAATTTAGAATCATGCGCAACCACAGACCGAGGTGAACCCTCATATGAAATTTGAGAAAGAAATGTCCAATTCTTCTTGTGGAAAAGATATTTACCTACAATTGTGTATAACGATGAGATAGGACAGACTGAAAACACAGACGGAGAACTATTTGAACAGCCAACCATCTAAAGAAGGCAAAAAATTGATAATGTTAAAAACCTTGAATCATTTTTTTGGCTAATCCCTATGAAGCAAACAAACATACACCAAAATATTTTACTAACAAAAGGCTCAATTGGCATGCATCACTCACCTGCTACTAAGAACTTGTAAGTATAACAAGAGCTGTTGGAGAACAGCATAGCTCGCTTATTGGTGATTTATGTTTTAAGATAGCAAATATCAATAGAAACAAATGTACAGCAAAACCTTGATATAATGCCTGTCATTTCATTTGCCACCTCACTTACCGCCAACATATTTTCAGGTCCCTTAATTATGTTTTTCTAAATAAGTCCTTATACGTTTCTCTCAATTTATCACCAAACCCCTTTATAATGCAAACATTTCTTTTAAAAAATGATGGCAATATAACAAGGTTTTGCTGTACCTTTACATGTAAAAAGAGATGACCAGCCAACGTGAAATAGTCAAAAGCTTATTGATGGTGTTGACTGATTCAACAATGCACAAAATAATTAGCCCCAAAACTTTAACCAAGTACAAATAATCAGTTTTGGCTCCTAAAATAATGAAAATATAATTCAGAACATTGCTTACACTCCATATAAATACTCCAACCTTATCATAGGCAACAGCCTATCGATGGTGGTGATCCAACACTACACAAAACAAGAGGTCCATGGGCCTTAACGGTCACCTGAGTCCTAAAGTATTAATTTTTGTTGTTGAA